TGAGGGAGCAAAGGGCCAAAGAGAATATAGAAAATGTTGAGTGTAACAGGGCACAGAAGGACTAAAAATTCTAGGACAGTAGTTTCCAATCTTTTTCATCTCATGCATGGCATACTACAAGGTGTTAACATGTGTGGTTGCACATTTTATAGGTGGGACTTCCAGGTCACAAAATTTAAAAGCCCGATTATGTCACAGGTTCCTGGGACCTGGAAGGAGACTTGGAATAAGTGTGACCCATGTGATGTCACAGAGTTGGGGTTCTGGCTGTGCAGTTCCACAACACTTTCCAACATTTCTTTGTGGCTCACTGACGTGGCACCCTTGTAGACTTTTTGTGGTACACCAATGTGCCATGGCACAGAGGTTGAAAAGCACTGCTCTAGGAGAAAAAAAAGAACACATGTTTTCATGTCTATGGAGATTCTCAGTTATCCAGGTCATGGTTGTCCCAAACTTTAACTTTCTGGTTAAAGTCCAGTTGCCTCTTGAAAAAGCAACTTTGGGATGCCTTCATGTAGAAATCAACCTTAATCTTACTAAGTGGAGCGGGGGAAAAAAAGTGCTACCTTGAAGTTGGGGCTCATGTTTTTTGGCCACTTGACTGGGTCTTTGATGATGAGGCTGACCAATTGGAAGATGCTATTGGTGTAGAAGGGCGGAGTCCCCACGTACAGTTCATACAGAATGCATCCCACCGACCAAAGGTCAGCCGTGTGGTCGTATGGCTTCTCTTCCACAAGCTCAGGAGACATATAAAGTGGGGTGCCCTTGATAGATGTCAGTACCATGGTTTGAACGCTCATTGCCCGAGCAAACCTTCCAGAAAAGGGGGAAAAAAAACACAACTAAGATTTTTCAGTGCTTAGATCAGGAATTGAAAATGGAGGGAGATCATTAAGGTACCTACCCAAAATCACAGAGTTTGATCTCGCCTCCTTTTCCTAAAAGGATGTTCTGAGGTTTCATGTCACGGTGTAGGATCCGGTGGGAATGCAAGTAATAGAGTGCAGAAATCAGCTGAGCAGCAATAATTTGCACCTGAAAGAGAAATTGCAATCCTAACCCTGAGAAGAGGCTTACTTACTTACTATTCCGAAAACTTCTCCCAGTTTGAGTATAACCCCTTCATACCTTTTATATTCTCTGATGATGATGCTTAATTTTGAATTTAGTATCTTCCCCCAAGAAACTATAAAAACATACTCTACCTATATTACCCTATTTGCAGGCCAAGCATGCCCTCCTAATGAAAGGCTTGCTCTCAAAGTATACTGCAGTATGGTTTTGGGGGGGATTTGGTATAAGGAAGGAGCTTGAGATCACAGAATGTAGAATCCGTTAGTGATTCTTCTCTCCATCGAAGGATGTCCAAATTCAACCATGAACACTACCTGGCAAGCATATGCTTGAAGATACATAGGCTGAGTTCATTATTTATGAATCCCAATCAGATTCTACTAACTACTGAACTGTCATCAAAATTATTATCATTTGTTCTAGTATTTTTCCTGGTAAAAGAGGGATGAATGAACAGTATTTTCTTGGTCCTCATTATTTATGTTTTGAGGGCTGTGACAATTATTCCTCTCTTCAGTCTTGTGATTCCCCATTCATTCTTTGTAGATGCAACAGCATGGGGCACATGACCTAAGAAGATCAGTCCCCTATACTGCTATTACAGTATTATTCCCACTCTGTAATATTTCTCAGCTTGGGCACCTATTTCTCCAGTCTAACTCTGCAGTTACCTGTTCCTCAGGCAAGTTCCCATCATCTTCAAGGATCTGAAAGAGCTCTCCTTCAGCATAATCTGTCACCACAATCACCTAGCAGTTAAGAACCAGAAAAGTAAGCCAATATAATCATTCACAAAGAAGCACAGGGAAAGAATACAGTAATACTATGACTAACGTTTCTGCACTGAGCATAAATCTATGGTAATTAACAGCTACAGAATGACTGTAAAGTCTTATAACATTGAAAACATTGCAGGACCGTTTTGAGAAATGGAATCAGAAGTTAAGATCAATAATGTCAACTGCAATCTTTTTTGTAGGGATAGACTATGTCCAAAAGATGTTTCTGAGGAAATGGCAGAAGAGGAACAAGTTTTATCTGAGAAGATAGAGACAGAATTGAAACTGGAAGTGGATCTACAAATGACATGGAAAATGATGTCTCATCGGACATCAAAAGAAATAGTTTGATGTTTTAAAAATCAAAAAGGAATTATACAAGTAAAGCAAGAGAATGATCTATATAACATTTATATATTGGATTTACAAAAGACGTTTACTAAAGCTTAGATAAATTTTGTGAGAAGGGGCAAAAAAGAAATGAAATCAGTTTTATGACATTACTTGAATGCACTAAAGATTAAGATTGTTAGAAGTAAAAGAAAGGAATATAAAATTGATTTAAAAAAAAAAGTCTGGATAATGGACATTGCAGTACCTAGAGACAGCAGGAAAAAAAAAAGAAAGAACTAGAGAAAATTGCAAAATATAATTGTGACATGAGAAAGCAAAAGAAGTTCCAGTAGTAATAGATGCCTTGGGCAAAATTCCAAACATTTCCAACCCCACTGACATTGACAAAATCACCATTAGTCAATTGCAAAAGGGAGCTTTACTCTGAATCCCATTGAGAAACCTACTAGTAGCCATTCCCAGATTTTTACAAAAGGAACATACTGTAATTCTCAGTTTGGTTGAACAAAATGAAATGGCTTTATTGGGAAGTGAAATAAAAATTCATATGCTCTAGGGGCCTCAATCTTCTTGGAGAAGGTCTAGATACATTGATTTGATGGCACATAATCCATCAGAAACGGCTTTAAAGATGAGCAGGGCACACTTTATCCTATCTCTCCTACACTTAACTTTAAAATAGTTTTGCCAATATGTTTTCACCTCTTTGTCAGTTTCAAAACTGTCAAGCATCTGGACAATGTTGGGATGATGAAGTCCCCTCATGATCTCAATCTCTCGTTGCAAATTCTTCAGCTCTTTCTGAGATCGGCCCACTTTAGGAATAAACTTCAAGGCCACAATCTATAATGTTTTAAGAAAAGAAAAGGCTGGGGAAACATGCTAAATCACTATTTGGCTTCTTTCCTATTTTTTTTGTCAAATAATTTTTCTTTCCCAATTATGTCTGGATTAATAACCCATAATAAGATTTCTTTGACTTTGATTTTGCATGTTATGGAAGCCCAGATAATTGTGGCTTAGTCAACAAATCAGTGCTAATCATAATGTGAACACAATCTATTTGTAGAACAACCCCCGCTGAACATTCAGTCAATTATCACCTTCCTCTTTTGCTCTTACTTGTGCGCTATATTTGCGACGTCCTTTATAGACTTTCCCAAAAGAGCCTTCTCCAATCATTTCCAACACATGATACCTGTCCATGATTAGTATGTATGGAAAGGGATGAGTGCATAACCTGTTGAGTGCAGAAACAGAAACTTAGCTCTTGCAAGTTGAGTCGTAAGTACTTCCCTCTGCTACACTCTCGAATTGACCTCTTTTCTTCTCTAATAATTTTCTCACATTTGCCCTTTTCTCTTCTGGATTTTTCATAATTCAGAAGTTGCCTCCATGCCAAATTATGGTATATTACACACACTTTAGATTCTTCCTGTAACATGGAGCTTATTAGATCTTTGCTGAGCAATATTGGCATTACTAAATTTCTCTATAAACTAGATTTTGCAAGAATATCTACCTCTACTTCAATTAACATCAGTGAAAATATACAACAAGGTCTCTTCTCTGGCTTACATTTGGCTCCTTTTTCTCACTGCTCACTAAAGTCTGCTCATTATTATATGTACCATATCTTTCTAACCTTTGTTTGGAAACCTTTTGATTTGACAGTGTCTCTCCGAGTTTCTAGAAACTTCATTGGGCTCCGGTGATTTCCATTAACGGTCCTAAAATACAAGACAAATGCCATAGGATTGTAAAACCAAAGCATCCAGTAACACTGAAACATCTTTGGATGACTTTTCATAGCACATTTCTTTGGGGTGCAATACATTAAACAAACAAAATCAAAGCTTTCTGCTTTCCTCATCCTTCAAACTGGAAAGGAAGAGGCTCTCTTGTTACAGCTCTTTAGCACCTGCTTTTAGAAGACTCAAAGAAGATTGTGAGAATTTATAGATTGCATTTTACTTTTATTTTGATGCCTTTGTCTTCTTTTTATCCAACATTATTTCATTATATGTTCATTTTATATTATATTATATTTTTTTAACGAGCAACCTTTCTCAAATTTACTGCACAATTTCAACAAGAAATAAAGTTCTTCCCAAAGGCACCTCCCCCCCTCCCTCCCTAATTTTCACTGTATTTTCTAACACACACCGCACCCACAACAGTGAGTAGAGGCATATTCTCCAATAAATAAAGTAAGGGATGACAACTGCAGCTCCTGCCAACAGTTCCTTTGGCTTCATCCCATCCAGTTTAGACTTGTTTCTTTCTGAAACGTTTGCCAAAGATGCATTGCGACGGAAAGGCTGCAACCCTGCAACCCTTTCAACTTAGAGCAGTGTTCCTCAAGACGTGAGGACTTCAACTCCCAGAATTCCCCAGCCAGCATGGCTGGCTGGGGAATTCTGGGAATTGAAGTCCACACACTGGTTTAGAGAACATTCATGCCCCGCTTAGGACTGACTTCTATCTAAGTACTTGTGCAGAACGCACGAGTCAACTCACGGCAAAACATCGCCATCCCTATTTCCCTTCCCTCAGCCCCACCGACCCGTCTGTGCCTGGGGGGTTTGCTAAGGGTCTCCTCGCGAGGATGGAAGCGATGGGGGTTTAGCTCCGGCGCTCACAAGGGCGGGGGTGGGGGTGGGGGTGTTGGGAAGGAACGAAGCCCGAACGCTCCAGATGCCCGTTACCTGCCAAGCGTCAGACGACAGCGTCGCCGATCTATCGCCTAGCAACCCCCGGCGCCGGAAGTACTCGTGGCCGATTTGGCCCTCTTTCCGGTTTTTGGCTGGCAAAGATGGCCGCAGCAGGTGAAGAAGAAGAAGAGCGGACGGGAGGGGAGGATTGGTAAGAGGGTGGTTGGTGTCGTTTTGTCCGAATCACCAAAACTGGATTCTGTATTTCCTTGCTGCCCCCTGCTTAACCTCTTATTTTATTTATTTATTTATTTTGCAGCCTGGATGTCGTAATCCTAATTAAGAGTTCATAAGGAAGCGGAGAGTTTAACTGAGAAGTTCTAATCAGTCTCTTGTCTCTGAAATATACTAATGCAGGGGTGGGCAAATATGGCCCCTTTATGACCTGTGGACTTCAACTCCCAGAATTCCTGAGCCAGCTTGAGCAAGCTGAACTTGGCTGGCTCAGGAATTCTGGGAGTTGAAGTCCACAGGTTGTAAAAGGGCCACAGTTGCCCACCCCTGTACTAAAAGTATTAATGTTGGGACAAGTAGGTCTGTGCTGCAAACATCCGCACCCACCACTATGGCAGGGAAAAGTTGGTTATACAGGCTCAGGCTTTCAGGGCTGGCCTCAATGAAGCGGTGATGAACTTTCGGGCTGAATGATGAAACGTCAGGAAAAAAGCAAAGTAAATGTCTTTGGAGATTCTCAGTCATCTAGGTCATGGTTGTCCCAAAGGTACTTTTTTTCCCTTCTTCAGAGCTGAAGAAATTGCTTGGATAGAAGCAAAACGTCTTCAAAGGGGGAAAAAAACCAGAAAGTCCAGTTGCCTCTTGAAAAAAGCACCTTTGGGACAAAAGCCAAATAACCTTGGTCATTGGGCCCGAAAGCTCAACAGTGCTTCAAAGAGTTATTTTATTTATTTATTTATTTTATTTTACTTATACTTATATACCGCCCTTCTCTCAAAGGACTCGGGGCGGCTCACAGAAATTAAAACGATAAAGACAATAAAAATAGCTACTAAAATAATCAATTAAAATCTACCAATTAAAAAGAAGTTAGACACTTTTTCCTGCCATCTAATAGTAATCTGGATTTTTGCAGCCTACATATGGTAGCATTACTTTGGTAACTGCCAGGTTTGAATGTCCATGGAGATTCTCAATCATCCGGGTCATGGTTGTCCCAAAGGTGCTTTTCTGAAATGCAAGGGGACTTTCTTGGTTTTAATCCTTGAAAACGTATCACTTCTTATCCAAGAAGCGAATTCAGAAAAGCACTCTTGGGACTATCTGCCAGCTTGTTTTTTTTTTCAGCTAGAAAAATTGGCTTGTAATAGATGACATATTTAGTCTGTTTCTTTTCCTGTTTACTGAATTATTATATGCTGATATTTAATCTCAGTATGATTTATTTCTTTATATTTGTAACGTATAGAGTGCAATGTTCTTTTTTATTTTGGTTTCATGGCGAATTAGAAAAAGGCAGAGATATAATACTGTTTCAGAAACAGGGTACAGAGACAGAAAAATAAGAGGCCTGACTCAGAGACTCAAGGAACAGGAATTAAATTTTGTTTACTACTAGAGATGTGAGTAGTTTCCTTTGTTTTGTTTTGTGACAAAACTCTTCAGTGTTTTTTTTTTTTTTTAGTAGATTAAAAAAATGCCTTTCCTTCCTACAAAGAAGGAATGAAAGCAGTTACATTCATTAGCTATACAAGTATAGGAAGTAGTTATTCTAAGAGAAAAATACTTTTCCCCTCCTGCCCCCATTTATGTATGTTATAAACGTAATACAGTCTCCATCTATTTGGCTCTTGTTCTTTTGGCCATTGCTGTATGAAATTAAAGCAGTTGACAGAACTGGAGCTTTTTAATACAGATGAGGTTGGAGTGTCATATAGAAAATCTATCTTAGAAAATAATGAGCAATGTAATGATGACTTTGATCTTTATCTATTGTAAAAATAATGGTGCTATTCTAATCCTGAAACGGAAATTTTGCCCTTTCTAAAAAAAATTAGTTTTTTGGGTGTTTTGGAATTTCAAATTTTATTTTTATTTTATTTTATTTTATTTTATTTTGCTTTAATTTATATGCTGCCCTTCTCCGGAGACTCAGGGCGACTTACAATGCGTTAAGCAATAGCCTTCATACTTCTGTATATTTATACAAAGTCAGCTTATTGCCCCCACAATCCGGGTCCTCATTTCACCTACCTTTGAAAGGATGGAAGGCTGAGTCAACCTTGAGCCTGGTGAGATTTGAACTTGCAGTAATTGCAAGCAGCTGGTGTTACTTAACAGTGCTTTAGTCCACTGTACTACCAAGGTTCTTTATATGCTTACTACATATACCACTTAATTTCCAAAGTGACTTTGTTGTTTTAAAGAATCAGTTTCTCTTACTCTATTGAAAGGAGCTTGCCTGCTCTACTATTGCTGTTAAAAACATCTCATAATATGCAGGCAGAAGAAATTTAAGAAAATGAGATATATTTGTAACATTATTTTTTTTTTCTTCAGGGGTTTGCCTTCAGAAGTGGAAGTCTTGGAGTCTATCTATTTGGATGAGCTTCATGTATTTAAAGGAAACAGGTATTTGCTTTATTGTCAGATGTTTTGTTGGCTTACAGGTGTAAAATATAACCAAGAAGAGTATTAATGTGTAAATAGTTACAAATTAATAAAACCTGAGGCCAGATTTCCATATGGATAATCTTCTATGGCTTATGTGACAGAAGAAAGGAGTAAAATTGACACATCACTCCTATATCATTCTCTGAGTTACATAGATACAAATCCTTAAGATTGTAAAGGAGGCTGTCTGTTAAAATCACCAGGAGAATTCCAAGGTGTTACTTTTTAAATTTGTTCTCTTTTCTGACAGTTGACTTTAGCTTGTGCCTCTCTCAAACTAGATCTATTCCCTGGGAAATCTCCATCACCCTACACCCAGCAACTGCTGAGGATCAAGATTCTCAGTATGTCTGTTTCACCCTTGTATTGTCTGTGCCTCTGCAGGTAAATAAATGCTTTTTTTCTAGTTATTTCATCATGGAATACAGCTGTACTATATATTTACAGCTGTGCTATATATTTACACTTGGCTTGGTTTCCTTTTAGTATCCAAATGAAATACCAAAGATTGCTATCCAGAATCCTCGGGGATTATCAGATGAACAGATTCAAAAGTAAGTACTTTGATTTTATCATCAAAATTATCAATTAGTTGCACGCTTCCTTTGGAAGTGGGTCTCTGATACCCATTTTTACTTCTGTAGCTCTGTTCCTTAATATGTAGCTGTCCCTCAGAGGAGGAAGGTAATGCAAGGTAGTTTCTATATATAAAATACATTTGGGGATTAACTGGAAAACAAAGATTTTGCTTCCTGAACACTTTTGAGTGAATCTTGTAGATTTTTGGCTGCTAATCATGAAAATAACCTCTAATTTAACCTATCACATACTATTTTGTAGAAATCTTTTGTTTTTATACAATAGTAATGTATATCCTTCAGTACCTGTTGGCTATGCTGCGCACATTGAAAAAAAATGCGAAAAAATGGAACTGTTGTTGAAGCACATCCGGTACTCCAAGTATAAGTAGCATATCTATGGATATCTAAAAGTAGTGGCTCTGCTGCTTGGGATGCAGCTCAGATACACCAAGTACTGTTGTTACATATGTGAACGGGACAATAGTGCAAGAGAGTCTCATATTAAAAAGAAATGACTACTCTGAAATAATCTGATTCCAGGAAAGAAAAATGTGCCACATGAACCACTTGTTGACCCAACAAAGATATTTTCCCCCCCACGTCACATAAAACCCGGATTGATGAAAATTTTTGTAAAAGTGATGAGCAAGAAAGGTATGAAGGTTTTTGTTATTTGAGACAGATGTTTCCAAGAATAACTGATACCAAGATCAAGGAAGGCATTTTTATTGGTCAACAGATCAGATTCACCATCAATGACAAGCAGTCTGAAGATCTGTTAGTGCAGAGGTGGACAATTAATTTTTCCACGGGGCCATATGAAAAACTGGGACTGTTGTGGATGGTTGAACCAATAGGTTGAATTTAGTTCTTCTCAATATTACTTTTATTGCTTTCTAAAAACCAGTAAATTATATGGTTTTCATTAGTACTTCTGGTAAGAATACATGTTATGTCTTATTTACATTTTATTTCTAATTTCCAATTGACCTCACACGGGCTGGATAGGGTCAATCAAAGGGCTGGATGTGGCCCAGGGGCAGTAAGATGCCCATGTCTATGTCAGTGGGACCAGAGAAAATTGTCCGGAAAGCATCTAGGGATGCCATAGGGAATTTTCTTGGCAATTACCAAGCACTATCCTACATTGCTTGACGAACTTCTTACAACATGAAAGACCATGAAGTGCAACATGTCACTGAAGATTCATTTTCGGTATCCACATTTGGATTTCTTTCCCAAAAATCTAGGTGCAATCAGTGATGATCATGGTGCAAGATTTCACCCGAACATTGCCACAGTGGAAAAACGGTATAGGGGCAACTGGAATCCGTCAGTGCTGGTTAACTATTGTTGGACACTAGAGCGAGATGCATCAGACACCGAGTAGAAACAAAAATCAGCAGCAAAATATTTTTAACCCTGCTGAACTCATGCAGCATGTCGGAAACATCATGCAATTAAATATAGTCATTAAAAGTTAATTTCATATTACTCAAGATTCCTGTGTGATGCAATCATTCTGAAATTATATTTGTGTTCAGTTTGAAGAAGTCAATCATAATCGCCAAAACTTTTTCAGGAAGCAAAACTTTTTTGGGGGAAAATTACGGTTCAGTATATGGGACTTGTTTTGGAAGTAGAGGTTAAAGGAGAAATTTATGGAAGGAAAAGCACAAGTTGGACAGAGTTATCTACTCCACATTTCTTTACTCCTGCCTTACCAATCCCCGTAAGGCCTTGCCCTTTTCTCCTCAGAGGGGACTCATAAAGGCTGGGCAACCCAAGCTGCTGTTGCTGCTTACCAAATGAGGAGGGAAATGCACCCCCACCATGGGGTAAGTTGAGGGGAGCCTTGAAATTATTAAGCCACTATCATAGATTCATTCATCCCATGGCAAAGGCAGCTTGGGTTCCTTTCCTATGCTCGTTCCACAGGTTGTGGTAGCCTACTCATATGACATAATATACTGAAAGTATAGTTATTTCCTATTGTCATTCCTTTTAAAGTGCTTGGAAGTATCTTTTTTGTGCAGGGCTACAGATTACAGTCTCTCAGAATAAGCCTGTGCTTGTATTAGTGTTCCACTTGTCATTGTGTTTGATCAATTTAACCATTCTTATTAAGTATTGCCCTCTGGGTTTTCTCTTGATGTCCCTTTTCTGCCTATCTAGAATTTCCCAGACACTGCAAGGTATTGCTGAGAGCCAACTGGGTACACCTGTGCTGTATGAACTAATAGAGGTAAGAGGACAGGAGAGAGACGTGAGGTTGAACAGGGTGGTGGTAAGGAATGGTTTTAGCTTGGACTGTCTCTGCTTTAGGATGTGAAATTACCCACTGGCTTTTTCTCTCAACAAGAAGGGAAAAGAAATCCTCACAGACAACAACATCCCTCATGGGCAGTGCGTGATTTGCCTGTATGGCTTTCAGGTAAGAGCATGCTGGACTAGCATCTTTTTTATTATTATTTTGCGAATTAGAGGAATTGAAATCATTGACAAAAGGAGAAAAAAGGAAATGTGGGTGAGCTTCTTGAAAAGATGCCCAGATAGGAATCTCTTAGTCGTGATGCAGTTAACTCGATGCAAAAAAGAATCAAATGGAGATTTTAGAACAATGGAATATGGCACAGGAATTTATTAGGATGCATCCTCCTGTTTCTGTAGCCTACTTGAAAATGCTACCCACCCATCCTCAGAAGCAGCTTTTCACACAAAGGACAGAATATAATAATACGTGGAATAAAAAAAGAAAGAAATCCATTAGTTATACGCAGAAAGTTTTATATGATTCTTTGGAATAACCTGCTATAGAAGTAGTATTTAAATGTGGCAAACACTGCCCTCTGCAATATTTCCTGAAAGTATCGTGCTCAACTTAATGTACTCCTGAGAATCTGTTCTTTCATCTTCACAGGAGAATGAGGCTTTCACCAAAACCACATGTTATCATTACTTCCACTCACGTTGTCTTGCTAGTTATATAGAATATATGGAGAAAGAAATCAATGCACAGAAGAAAGAAAGAATGCAGCATTTGACAACTGTGTCCAGAGAGGTAATGAATGGTTTGCCATTTTGCCACTGCAGCTGCTTGACTGTTCTTTTCTTCAGGAATGGCTTCTTAGTCTAGGTCAGGGCTGTGAAACTCCCGGTCTGCTGGCCAGATGTGTCACGCACTGGCCACGCCCGGTTTAGCGAAGGGGAAAAAAGTCCCGATATGTCATGTGATGCCACCCTGACAACATGAGTTTGACACACCTGGTTTAGGTCAATATTACCAGATTATTTCAGTTTGTTCCATTATGGCAGTGTGAACAAAATATTGGGGATAACAATGAATTGTAATAAAATTATTAAGGCTAAATGATAAACGGCTTCCCTCTTACTGATGCAAGCCCTGTGTTCTCAATCACCATTTCCTATATGTAGGGGAGGTGGGGAAGCTTTAGTCAGTGCCTTAAGTCTGGAAGAGTTTGGTACAGTGGTAAAGGCACTGGACTAGAAACTGGGAAATAATTTCTAATCCTGCCTTAGGCACAAAGCCAAATGTGTGACCTTAGGCCAATCCTTCTCTCTCAGCCCTAGGAAGAAGGTGGTGATGGCAAATCACTTTTGAAGAAATGTTTCCAAGAAAATGGCAAGGGCCTGTCCATACAGTCACCTTAAATCAAGTCTGACTCAGAGGCAATAAATAAATAAATAAATTTCAGAAATATTCTAATTTAAAATTTGTGGTAGATGAATAATGTCTTTCTCTCTAAAATGTTTTAGTAAGGTTCTGTGAATAGAGATAATCTTTCTGGTTTTGTTATAGAAGAACAAAAACCATGTGCATTATTTTTGAAGAAGACATTCCAAGTTTTTCTTCAAGGAAATGGTTACATTTTGACCAAGATGGTTCTTTTTTTAGTGAATGAAAGAGGACAAGAATATGTTTTATGTTCTGGATAATTCTTTTATGGGACATGTTATTTGTCAAGGTATGAAATGATCCTCTCTTTCTTCCTCCATAAAAATAAGAGAGGAAGGCAGCTCTGAATGCATCTTTCTCTAAGATCACAAGAATTGTGGTAGTTAGGGGTAAGATTGCTGCATCAGTGCAAAAAAAAAGCATGAAATGCCAAGTAGACTCCATCATGGATAACAACATAATTGGTAGTATGCCATACCGTTTCCTCTCTGTTGTGGCACCTTGGGAGGGCACTCTTAGCAAATTTAGGTAAAAAGCTTGGGATCCAGGCTTTTCCATTAATACTGAGTGCTGGGATAATTGTTTTTGATTGAGAAGTAGCTATGGACTTGACTAGAATTCTCCTAAAGCAGTTGTTACCCGCCAAGGCAGAGCATCAGAGCAGTATGAAGGTAGAAACAGAATATCCTATGGTGTGGCCTAATTACATGATGCTCATGGTTGCTTCTGTCATCTTTTCTTGTACAGGATATTGAAGTGCAATGCCCTGTGTGCAGGGAGCCTCTCGCGTATGACCTTGCCACACTGCAGGCAGCACCATTACCACAGCAGTTAATGGTAAGGAAAATTGGCAGCCGGATCTTTTGCATGGAACCATTACTGTTAAAAAGATGGGGCAAACAAGAGGCTTGTGGCCTAAACCATTTGTCATATATCAAATCGTCTAAGAAATCTAATACCCCTAAATAAGTTTTGCTGAATTATTTCTAGTGACGTCATTGGGGCTCTTTAGCTTGACAGGGTGTGGGAGGGATGGAGAAACAAAATCGTTAAATGTCCGCAGCATGTTCTCATTCTCACTATGTATAACAGTTTTTAGCTATGTGCACATAGTCTAATATGTAGTGCAAAATCTTAAATAAATTTTTCTGCTCAGGTTTTCCAGGTAGGTCTAGGAATTATAAAAGTTTTAGTGTAAGATGTCTGGAGAACACAGCTTGGGAAAGGGAAGTCTGCCTAAATTGTCCTTCCAAGAACAGTGTCAAGTTCTTTTTTTTTTTTCCTGCTTTATCTAAACTCTGCTCCTTTCCAGCTGTGCATCATAGTTATAGTGTTGGGCCTAAACGTTCCATTTGCTACTCTTCTGAAATACAAGCTGTTGTTCCCCCTCAGGAAATATACCAGCCTGACCAACAGACACTGCAGCACAGAGAGCAGCTGCGTCAGCACTTCCAGAGGCAGCAAGAAAAAGGTGGCATCATTGACGTGGAGCTGGAAAGAAATCGCTATTTTGTTACCCTGCAAAGGGTGAGTAGATCAGCAGAATAGAAGGAAAAAGGGCTATTAAGGAAGGAGTGAAGAAACCGAATAGTATCCAAAATAAGGAAGCTATTAATCCTCTTCGCAGGGAAAGAAAATGAAAGGTAAGTTTTTATGTGGCTGACAGTCTTGGAGCACAAGAGTTGACTCTGATATTTACATCTTAAGCAATTCCGTAAGTGTCTTTTAGGTAATTGATTAAGATTGAAATATCAAAGCCATTTTGGCTGGCTGTTGTTCTCAAGAGCACATTGCAGCCTCCTTGCAATGAGAGGCTTATTATAGAATCAAGCTGGAGAATATAAGTTTGGTGACACCAATATTTTAGCCCTGGCTGCGTGATCTTTCTGGTTCATGTATTTTATCTTAATTTGTTCACTTTCTTCTCAGCCCTCTGATGTCAGGGAATATGACCATATAGCCATCTTGGAAAACGACTTGGGAACTAAGAATGAGCTGAAGTCACCAGCCATTTCAGAACACACTCAAAGTACAACACCCATGAGCGATGAGGTAAAAAATACAGATACATCATCAGTTAGCTTGCATCACCATAATAGGAGAGAAAGAAATCGAGGGGAGAAGTCATCTTTACAAAATCCTAGCTGGCAATTACATTATAAGACATTGGAGATGGCAACAGGAAAGTATGTTGAGGAAGAACCTGAAGCCTTAAGTAGGAGATCTAATTGGAAGAAGGAAAGAGGGCGGTGGAACTATGGGAGATACAACCAAGATATTTCAAAATCTTATAGCCACAACCAGGAGCCTTCATTTTTGGATAAAAAAGATTTGTGCGCCAAAGATCTCCCATCAGCCAAAGAAGAGAAAAACAATATGGACAAGTGGATACCAATGCCAAAAACTCAAGCCTCAAACAGAGAGAAAGTGGACATTTGCCATAGTGAGCTCAGAGGACAGAACACATGGCAAGGTCAGCATGGTATTCAGAACTGTGAGAGATGGGAAAAGACCAAAGGAAGAGAGTATGTAACTTATCCCAGAATGCCAAGAGGTCGGGGGCAATCCAGGCCAAAGCCACGGAAAGAACTTCAGGGCCCAGAGACGGAAGGAAGTTCTTAGCTGATGGCAATCAAGGGGGAGAACACTGATCACTTTGTCATGTTGCCTTTCAGACATTGACTCTTCCTTATTTTAGCAGGGGGGACACCCCCCAGCTGTCTTGGGAGTTTTCTCTAATGCACTGGCAGTATGTATTGTTGGGATGGCATCAGTTTTGCAAACAAATATTCTGTTTGTGAGGATTAGAATGCTGCAAAGGGACAAATGCCTAATTTGAGAGAGCAATAAATGACAGTCACATACAGTTTACACGTATATTGAAATATCTTCTAGCAAAATGGAGCTATTTTAGTGGTCGGGAGTGAAATCCCTTAGTTGGAAAGGCCATTGGAAAATGCACTGTTAAACACTTAGAATATTTTTAAAGAGGTACAGGTCTCCCTCTTTATTGTCCAGGGGTTTCGATCAATTTTGCCACATTGCTTACTATTTATGGTCACTAGTGCTAAACATAATGGCAAAAGAGTGCACTATAGTATCAGATTTAGAATTAGCCCTGGGAATTAATCCTACTAATTAATCCTTTTATGTGTAAATGGTCCTCTGAACCACAGAAGTCTGCAGTTAAGCTGCATACTGGGATGTGAGGGTTTTTAAAGTGATCTTTTCACTACTGTTAGTACCAAAGTACCTTCTATTTTATATGATTAAACAGTTGGTCTCCAGAGTTTTGAGATTCTTGTATTTCAGAAAATATTACACTGAGCCTTCAATTCTAAATGCAAGTGTACCAGAAATATAAAAAGCAATGCAAGCAGTGATTTCTTCTACCATTTTTGGCCCAAATTTGTTGTACCCAATCTTGGGATCAGAGGATTGTATTCTACCACAGTAGTGGAGAGGGGAAAATGTAAATGTGTTTTTGCTCACATACACCCACATCAGAGGTGGTATTCAGCAGGTTCCAACTAGTTCTGGAGAACCGGTAGTGGAAATTTTGAGTAGTTTGGAGAACAGTAAATATCACTTCTGACTGGCCCAGCCGCCATCTATTCTCTGCCTCCTGAGTCCCAGCTGATCAGGAGGAAATGGGGATTTTGCAGTAACCTTCCTCTGGAGTGGGGAGGGAATGGAGATTTTACAGTATCCTTCCCCTGCCATGCCCATAGAACCGGTAGTAAAAAATTTTGAATCCCACCACTGACCCACATACATGTTATTCAATAGTTCTCAGAAATCAAAATTTATATCAATGTAATTTACAATTTCCAGAACTTTTGTAGGATTATCATGCCTCACAAATTGGTGTGCTAGTGACAGTGAACTGAAAAAAATATGCTTGGTTCTTCAATGGTTGAAAGTAAGAGTAGCACGAGTCTCCCTTGGCTGCATTTGATGGTATTTGCAAGAATGGGCTGGAATAGTTATAGGCTCACTATGTTCTCAGTACAAAGTCAGTGGAAGTCCAACAGATCCAGAGCAACATAGAGCAATGTGAGCAGCTCTATTTCAGTATCATATTCTATAGAAAGCATTTAACTCCTAATGCTAGCAGACAGATTCCATTTCCTCCAAGCAAAATTAAAACCAATCTATTTGCAGTCCATTGAGCTGTTCAGGCATCCAGTTAACCTAGAGCCTGTAAGTTGCTTGAAGCTGAATGGTAGATGGCCCTAGAAGAGCCATCCCTTCTGAAGAACCAAGTGCCTTCTCAGTATATTACTAAGTGGCTATTGAGGCATAGACTCAATCTGGAGAGGAGAAGGGAGAAGTCATTCAATCTGAACTCCAATTTCTTTTTAAGAGATATGCAATGAGATTATTTGGTTTAGTCTTTATTTTTTTTACAAAAAGGACTACCTCACTGAGGCAGAAATATTGATGGTACCATCCCCCTAGTTACTGTGTGCTGGGCGAACAGCCCACGCAACTACATTCAATGTTTTCTCAGTGTTTGTTCAGAATCAAGATTTAAGCATCTCTACATTCTGAATGGCTTTAACTGGATCTGCTTTGTGTATCATGAAATGACCTTGAAGTTGTGCAGCACTGATTTTAGCAGAGACAGAAAAGGCTCGTTTAGCAAATTGCTCAGCTACAGCAGATGGCTGGTCCGGATAGAATCTCTGGAACATCTGTTTGAACTGCCACTCTGAACAATGCCCAATGTACTGTTTGAGGTCTACTCGTCCTGGGCGAATCAGGGCTGGATCCAGCCTGCAGGAAGTGAAAAAGTAACAAAATGAACTCAGTAAAAAAAGTTTAACCTTGCAAATCTAGCTTGCCTCTTTACACGCAAGCCCAAAATGCTATTATTTCTAAAATTCCAAAAAGGAACAAGGCTAAAACACCTCTTAAAATAAAATCTGTTTTATTTTATCTGTAATGTATATTTGGCCACCAGATTCAGAAAAAAATATAAATTTGGTGGCCAATAAATATATAGGATTAGGATTTTTTTTTATTTTTTGTGATTGGACACACAAGGAATTTGTCTTGGTGCATATGCTCTCAGTGTATATAAAAGAAAAGATACGTTCATCAAGAATCATAAGGTACAACACTTAATGATAGTCATAGGGTACAAATAAGCAATCAGGAAACAATATCAATATAAATTGTAAGGATACAAGCAACAAAATTAATACCAATAGAGGTCCTATTTTAATTAAATATTTTAGGTTTTCCTCAGCTATACTACATCAAGCCAGACTAAAGGGTCCTGCACAGAATAAGAAAGAACTATCTCTAAGATATGTAGAGCAAAGTAGCATTTTAAATAATTGTGCCCAAATCCACTTCACACAGAATAACTATGCAATACTTCAGTTCTGATTCATTAAAGCAGCTGCATCTATTTTCATAGCTATTGCACATTCTTAGAATCAATCATAGTTTAATGAGTCACTGACAAATGTTATACTTTCACTCCCATATACTACTATGAACCTCCTTTACAGAATCATATCTAAAACTTGCACAGCCTACCACATAGACATTTTCTTCTTCCTCCTCCTCTTCCACCTACCTTGAAATTACCCACTTCCTTGCTACAGTCCTAGCAGCCAATATGGAGCCAGGAAAGGTAACAAGAGCGAAAACCACATGTATATTTTGCAGGTTCAATGTTGCAAATGTTTCAGATCATGACCAAGGCCATTAATGACAATGCCGCTGCCAACACATTTCTCAGATCACAGCACCAATGCATAAACATAATCCCACTTTTGACTGAATTCAATGTCAACTGACTTAACCTTATCTAACAACTCAGCCTTGATGCTCCATAACACTTGACTTATGGATCCTTTCTCAGCAGGCTGTATGGCTAGCACTAAGGCTGAAAGTTATACAGGTGAGGCTTCTAGGATACTTCAGTCAAGAGCCATGCTTTTGCTTCTTTTCAGCTTGTTCCTAGTTCTCATGGATGGGATGAGAAGTATGACATTTATTCTTTGTAAAAGGGTTGCATTTCTACTTCCTCCTCCCCCCTACAAAGGCAGAAGGTGCATTTTTGTTCCTCACAAGGAATAGGATTCAACTTGTCCCAAATATTCTTGAGCCATCAAAGCATTGTTCCCCAACCTTTCCGACTCGGCGAGGCGAGAGAGAGGAAGAGGGGATGGTTTTGCATGTGCACACTGCTTTCAAAAATGCAGCTTTGCACATATGTACTAGTCCACTGCTTCCATGGCCGAGATCCAAACTGACTGTGGTCCAACTCCAGGCCACGGACCAGGGTTGAGGACCCTGCATCAAAGTATCCCAGAAGATAAACAGATTCTTTTGTGCACACTTGCTATTATCCAATATTCTTTTTTTGTCCAAGCTTTGTTCTACCAAAGAAACTAATACAATGGCTGGGTTCCTTTCGGCAAAAAAAACCCCTGAATAATTACTATTCCCATTGATAGTAAAGCCTACTGTGCAAACCAAGAGATACAGACACACTCTATACAGTATATCTGTATAGGGTATGTGGAAACCATGGGAGAGCCAAGCCTTTTGAAATGAGGGGCTAGACAACCTCTGGATTCTACAAGCTAGTTTCCGTCCAACTCCTGGATTATGTAGCTAACTGATTTATGGATTGGAATAACTATTTGCCACTCTTTTTTTTGACTTCTTTCTCCTGCTTTCTCCTCCAAAACAATGCCTTACTCTATGTTCTATTGTCAATCAGTACTTGCTTTAGGAAAATTTATACCTTTTCTGTCTTTTAAACAAGAGGGGCACCATAAGCTTTTCTTAATGATATGCTTGGATATTGTATAACGGTGTCAAACGTGCAGGCCATGCCCACCCCAGCTCCGCAAAGGGGTGGGGTGGGGGGAAATCATGATATGTCACATGACGGCAATGTGATGCAGCGAGTCTGACAACCGTGTTGTATAAGATACAGTAGGATTAGTTGAGTTATATTATCAAACCATTAGAGTTTCCACTGCCTGTGGATCAGCGTTTCAGTGTGCAGCTGATACAGGGCATTACTGGGAACAATGCTATGACTGAAAATTGATATAGAAATTGGAAGAAATTCTGGGAACGGCAGCTGTTTTTTTTCCTATTCTGTGATTTTGATTTAGCAGCTAGAGCAAAAACTGCTAACTAGTTATGTCACCAATATCAGCAACTGTTTTTAGTTAGCCAGTATGAATGTTCTCCTAAATCAAAAGGTTGGCTAAATTAATAACTCCCGCCAATCCCACTTTTGTGCATCAGTTCTAACCTGTCCACATAATTGGTAGTCATAAATACTAGTCTAGCTTCAGCAGACGCTACGCCATCCAATGCATTGAGAAGGCCACTGAAGGTTAAACGTCCCATGCCTTGATAGGCAACAGGATCTGAAGAGAAAAAACAACAGAAAATTATTCAGAAATATGGAACAAAGAAAATTAACAATATGAGTAAAGATTAATAGTAAACATTACTATATTCTGTCTAGGTATAGGAGCAGATTTACCCAACCAATTGGTTTTACAACTCCTATAATTCCTATTCGCACCACTCACTACCACATGGAAAAAAACACTTTTTTTCCTATCAAGGGCTGCATTCTTTCAAAGGTAACTGGTTTAAGAATTTGCAGGTTACCAGCAGATAGAGTCGAAGGGTTACAAATATGACACTAACTAAGGCTGGCAAACTATTCCCTTTCTTCTCTCCCTTTTGCTATGTGGAAGGAGAGAGAAATATTACTGTTAAATTCTGAACTGATTGCTTATCAGAGCAATTGTTAATCTAGGGTAGGCAAAAGTGGATGACTTGCAGCCCAATTCGTGATTTTGTAGTACATGAGTAATCAATCATGGCTGCAGAAAACTGATGGGTGTCATTTTCCAACCATGTTAGAAGTTGGAAACCATACATTTCATTGGAACACATACAAAATTAGCATGTATTAAACTAGACAAGCCACTACCATGTTTTCCCAAAAATAAGACCCTGTCTTATATTTTTTTGAACCCTGAAATAAATGCTTAGCCTTATTGCCATGCGTTCAAAAGCCCGATTGGGCTTATTATCAGGGGATGTCTTATTTTGGGGGAAACAAGGTATTAAAAGGCAAAAAAAAATCCACCACTATCCCACACTTACATACATATGTGGTGGTATTCTAGCCACTTTGGAGACTTCACCCCTGGAAAAATGCTAAATGCAGCCCTTGGGCATGAGAGGGTGGCTTACTCCATGAACTAAAGGAAAACTGCTCCAAAGAGGT